AGGGCGGCTGCCGGCTGCGGGGGCTGCAGCCCGGCAACTACAGCGTGAGGATCAGAGCCACCTCCCTGGCGGGCAACGGCTCCTGGACAGAGCCCACCTACTTCTACGTGGCTGATTACTGTGAGTTCAGTTCATTTGTGGCTTCTGATCCCTGACAGAAATAATCCCCTCGGTTATTGCTGCAGGATGGGGTGCAGCAAGCAGGGAGTCACTAAATGTTTACCAAATACATCTGTTGTCAAGAACCTGAATTACTTGGAAACACATGGCTTTTGTTTATTAGTCCTCATGCTGACCAGCCCCACATTTTTATGTGAAATTGCTTCAGTTTTGTATTTGTTCCAATTTATTGAAGGGGGAGATTTTATTGAGGAAAAAGTTTGTATTTTGGACTTGTATATATAATATCTCCAACTCTCTCTTTCTCTCCTAGTGAATGCTCAGCCAAATATTGCTGTTATCATTGTTCCTATTATTTTTGCCATAATAATTGCTGGAATTATTGGAGCTGCTTATGTGCTTGTGAAAAAGAGGTGAGTGCACTTTCCTCTTGTTTTCACCATAAACATCAAAATTTACATCCAAAAGTTTTGCTGCTTTGTTGGGAGTCAGTTTTTGTTTGGTTTCTAATTTCCATAGTGATTGCAGCATTAATTTAAGTGCAGGAAATAGTTTGTGCCATATGGGGACAGTTTATTTGCTGCATGCTTTGGGGATTGATCAAACTGTCCTCACCTCAGAGGCTGCAGAGTGCTCAGGATTTTCTGTCTCTTCCAGACAAACTGAAGGACCAACAGGACCCCTGTATGCATCCTCCAACCCTGAGTACATCAGTGCCAGTGATGGTGAGAGCAACCAGGGCTTCTTTGTTGTGAAATCGTGCAGTCAGAACAGCAGGATGGGCTGGGAGTTGTTTTTGTGGGGTTTTCTGGTCCTTTTGTAGAATTCACCCCCCTCAATCTGGCAGCACTACCCAGAGCTGCTGTGAGAGTGTCTTTCAGAAGATGCTCTGTCACTGACATATTTTATGAAAAATCCTTTTGCTAAAATATTTTCTCCTGAGAAGCCTCAGAAGCAAAATGTAAACAATAATTATCTGCTGCTGTAGAATGCACCAAGTGCATTTTAATTAATCCATGTAAGTTATTTTTACTTGATAACCAATGACANGCCCGAGAGGAGAGAGAGGTAAAGAGAGAGAAGGCAAGAGTGTGGTAAAGAGATGAGAGAGTGAGGAAGAGTAAAGAGGGTAAAGAGAGAGTAAAAGAGGGTGAGGTTCCTGTTACAATACAATAAATGTTCTTCTGGTCATGGAATTTGGGGTTTATTGCAAAGGGCCTGTGTGCAGGGCCCTGCTGGGAGCTGCCAGCCACAGCTCAGAGCAGGCTTGAGAGGAGAGAGGGGGAGAGAGGATGAGGGGGTGAGAGAGTAAGAGGGGTAAGAGCTAAGAGAGCAAGGTTCCTGTTACAACGCAATAAATCTTCTTCTGTGTTGAATATTCTAATTCTCACTAACCAATCTAGTACAAGACACAAATCTTACAGCATTTACATACAGCTTATAAGAATCATTACATTACCATTACTGTGTTACATTTTAAACCTTAAAAACTCCTCTTTGGGCCCCTTCTGCCAAGCTGTAGGGTCTGCTCTGACCCTTGGGCCTGTCTGCAAGCAGAGGGTGTTGTTCCATCAAAAGGGGATCACCTTCAGCAGCCTCACCATTGTTTTCCACACATTGTTTGCCTTTTGCTGTAGGAGGAGAAACAGCTCCAGAGAAGGTGGCAGAGACCTGTGAGAGCAAATCCCTGTTGGGGCTGGGGCTGGCCATGGCCTGGTGGTCAGAGGTGGCAGTGGAAAGTTCAGTTCAGCAGCAAAGATTTGCTTCAACAGCTTGTTACATTTTTAGAGCCTGGAGATGCCTCAAGTGTGGGTTCAGATCAGGTCACTCTTTGTACCCTTTAATAGCTGCACACACATGCACACACACACACAAAAAGATCATCACCCCCTTAAAATACATGGTCTGGATTTCAACTGGCATTAATTCCTTTTGTGTAACTGAATACAGTTACTGATTCACCACCTTGGTTAGTTCCTGACCTGGAATTCCCCATGGTAAATATGTGGCAGCACATAAGAGTGTTAGATTGAGCACTTCTGGAACAGTGTTAAATTGAGCACTTTTGGTTTGGTAGTGATCCCTTCTTCTTTCTTTTTTTTTTTTTTTCTTGCCAAGAAAATGAAATTTTTTGCATGTTTCTTAATTCTGTTGAATTTATTCTGTTTATTTGCTGGCAAAACCTGGTATTAAAGCTGGCTGGTGGCACTCAGGTGCAGACAGGGAAGGTGACATGGTCACACTGCAGGTGCTGGTTTTGCAGGTGAAAAAAATCACATTTTCAGACTGAAATGCAATAACCTGAGCAGCAACATTTGGTTAACAAAACCACACAGTGAATATGTAATCAGAATAATGAGTTCTAAATGGATGCCTTGAAAAGAACTTAATAAATTTGATCTCTTGGGGAAACTTTAAAATGCTTTGTGTATCCATCGAGGTTCGGCTTTGGAGGTGAGAGTGGCAAATATATTCCAGAGAGCTGGGACAGTGGCCTTTTGCTTTATAAATGCAAGTTGGTGGCACTTGGGACATGTGGCACATCTGAGGTCACTGAATGGGGCCGTGGTGTGACCTGGTGTGCTCAGGCTGCAGCTCCAAAGCATTTGCAACCCTGCCTGAGGCATCTGTGAGGCAACCTGGTAACGTTAGACCCAGCTGGGAGACCCAGGGGAACTTGAATTCTCAAGCAAACACTTGAAGCTTGGGTTGGTTTATTTTTATTTTATCTCCCTGTTTGCAGATACAGAATTTTGTAAATGTGATGGTGTTCACAGGGGTTTTTGGATTGGGGAAGAGATGAGGATCTGACTCCATGTTTCACAAGGCTTGATTTATTATTTTATGATATATATCACATTAAAACTATACTAAAAGAATACAAGAAAAGGTTTCATCAGAAGGCTAACTAAGAATAGAAAAGCAAAGAATGATAACAAAGGTTTGTGGCTCGGGCTCTGTGTCCGAGCCAGCTGACTGTGATTGGCCATTAATTACAAACAACAGCATGAGACCAATCCCAGTTCCACCTGTTGCATTCTACAGCAGCAGATAACCATTGTTTACATTTTGTTCTTGAAGCCTCTCAGCTTCTTAAGAGGAAAAATCCTGAAGAAAGGAATTTTCATAAAAGTTGTCTGCGACATGTAAAGATGCATGTCTTGGTTAAAAAAAAAATACCCTGAATTTCTTTGTTGCTTTGCAAATATCAGGACATCTCAAACTCTGCTTTCTGGCTGGTGCCTTTTGCTGTAGGAGTAGAAACAGCACAGGGAAGGCAGAGGGAAGCAGGAAACGTGGCAGAGACCTGTGAGAACAAATCCCTGTTTGGCCATGGCCTGGTAGTCAGAGGTGGCAGTGGAAAGTTCAGTTCAGCAGCAAAGATTTGAGTTTGGAGTTTTCAGTGGCACTCAGAGTTTGTGTTTTCAGTGGCACTCAAAGTTTGTGTTTTCAGTGGCACTCAAAGTTTGTGTTTTCAGTGGCTCAGCTCTCCCATTCAGACCCCTCCTGCCCAGCTGGATGTGTTGGCACTGGCTGTGACACTGACCTGGTGCCCGTGTTGTCCAACAGGCCATCGAGAAAACGCAGAGACCTGGGCTCTGTGGCCAACGCCACCGTGGTGTTCCCCACCATCCCATCCTCCCCCAACAACTCAGCAGTAGCTGAGGGTGCAGAGGAGCAGAAACCCTTTGAGAAGGTGCTGTCCAAGGAGTCGCTGGTGATCTCGGGGCTGCGCCACTTCACCGGGTACCGCATCGAGCTGCACGCCTGCAACCACGATGCCCAGGAGTCCCGCTGCAGCGTGGCAGCCTATGTCAGTGCCAGGACCATGCCTGAAGGTGATTCTGTCCCTCAGCCCTTGGTGGTTCCTCCCAAAATGCTGCTTTTTCCACAGGAGGCAGCTGCAATATGTAAAACAGGGCTGTCCGTGTGTCCTGGTGTGTGACGGTGTTCACAGGGGGTTTAGGATGAGGGAAGAGATGAGGATTTGACTTTATGTTTGAGAAGGCTTGATTTATTATTTTATGATGTATATTACATTAAAACTTTACTAAAAGAATAGAAGAAAAGGTTTCATCAGAAGGCTAGCTAAGAATAGAATAGAAGGAATGATAACAAAGGCTTGTAGCTCAGACTCTCTGTCCGAGCCAGCTGACTGTGATTGGCCATTAATTACAAACAACCACATGAGCCAATCACAGATCCACCTGTTACATTCCACAGCAGCAGATAATCATTGTTTACATTTTGTTCCTGAGGCCTCTCAGCTTCTCAGGAGGAAGAAATCCCAAGGAAAGGATTTTTCATGGAAAGATGTCTGCGACACTGAAGGGAAAGGAGGATGGGTGAGGTGTGAATTTTACCCAAAGCCATAAAACTAAACCTGATCTTGAACTTGGTTCTAGCTAAGGCTGATGACATTGTTGGCCCAGTGTCCCATGAGCTGGTGGAGAAGAACACTGTGCACCTGAAGTGGCAGGAGCCAAAGGAGCCCAACGGCCTCATCGTGCTCTACGAGGTGAACTACGGGCGCCTTGGGGACACCGAGGTGAGAGTTCTGTCACAGCACCTTTGGTGAGGGGTTCTGGGGTCACAGCACCTTTGGGGGGAGGTTCTGGGGTCACAGCACCTTTGGGGGGAGGTTCTGGGTGCTGCAGGAGCCTCGAGAACCTTACAAGGGAGCACTGGATGCTGCAGGAATCTTGGGGAGCTGTCGGGGAGCTGTCAGGGAGCCCCAGGTGCTGCAGGAGTTTTGGGGAGCTGTCAGGGATCCCCCAGGAGCTCTCAGGAAGCTCTGGGTGGTGCAGGAGTTTTGGGGAGCTGTCAGCGAACTCTGGGTGGTGCAGGAGCCCGTAGGAGCTGTAAGAGAGCTCTGGATGTTACAGGGGCCCCCAGGAGCTGTCAGGGAGCCCCAGGTGCTGCAGGAACCTCCAGGAAATTGTCAGGGGTCCCCCAGGAGCTCTCAGGAAGTTCTGGGTGCTGCAGGAGCCTCCATGAA